TATATTAATATTAAACATTAAAATGTTTGTCTGTATGTGAGTAGTAGAGAGAGGAAAGTCCTATTTTGATCATAATTTAATGTAATAGAAAACATGAGATTTGTTCTGGCATTTCAAGGATTATTATAGCAAACAAAAATTATATATTATTCATATGATTATTATTATTATTATTATTATTATTATTATTATTATTATATGACTAATAATACTGTATATCTTCTAACAAAATTCAATGAATTATAGTTTTGTAATTTACTATTTTTAATAATAACAATAATAGACACATTGCCGTAATTAATATATTTTATTGAATTTTAGTTAAACATACCATAACATTGTTTGAATTTATATTATATCATTATAAACATATATAGGAAACAAATTGATAATCTAGTATTGAAAAATTATATTTGGATATACAGTATATTTAGTACTGTATATATCTATTATATTACAAAAATATTGTTGTATGATTTTAATTTATATAAATACAGTATTATTTTATCTAATTGAGTTTAGTGTGTAACGTGATGTTAAATAAATTGATTTAATTTTTAATAATTAAATAATTAAAGTTTACAATAAATTTTCCCTATTTTTTTATTTTATTAACATATACAACAATAAGCTAATAATGTACTATAATTATAAATGTTGTTTTGCTTCAATAGTTTCCCTTTATATTAATTATGAGAAATTTACCTAAAACTTTATTGTTTTATATATAATATACTTTTATTTAGTCTACCCATTGGTTCATTGACATTAAATAAAATGTCTACAAAAATAATTACTTTATATTTTATTTATGTTTTAAGCAATCTCATTTTTAACTATTTTAGTTGTATAATAATAATTAGTGAATTTATAATTAATGTTTAAAATAGTATAATTATGAATTAAATATAAGAATATATTTTTTATACTGCAGTAACTATAGCAATGTTTAATGTTAACTAAAATTTAGATTTATTTTATTATACTGTAGACAGGTAAGTATACAATTATATTTATTGTACCAGATTTACAAAACAACCAGGATAAAGTTCAATTAATATAGATAATATTTGTAGACAATAATACAATAAAACGGTATCATTTTACAAACTAAAGTTAACATATAAATGTAATATATTATAAAAATATATCTTTGTATTATTTGGACCTTTGATCACATAATCAACTACAAGTGTAGTCTATAACCAAGTTATTTGCTATAAATTAAATGTATAATTTAATACTTTTATTTATTTATTTGTCAATTCAATCATTGCAAAACTTATTTCCCATGTATAGAGTGTTTAATTTAATTATTATGTGATAAACAAATTAAAATTTCTAAGCATTTTAGTCTAAATTCATAAAATGATTTTTATATTGTGTTATCTTAATATTTATAATATTACTAAATATTATTTTTAAATATAAATGGCTATACAGTATGAAAACAGTACAATTATCTTAAAAGTTTTAACTGGCTTATGTTTGAATTTTATATAAATATATTAATTATAAATACAATATTAAATTTTTAAAATTATCTATTAATATACAGTATGTACAGTACACTGTACACAGTATAAATAAACTTAATAATAAACTAAATGTCATATCATTGTAAATATTGAGAAATAAAAAATAACTTTAATGCTTAGTATTTTCTAATGATAACACTATTCAATTGCTTAAATGATTGATTTGAAATATTATTAACTGCATTTGATTGCTTATTAACAACTTTGATAATTGTATAAAATATTTATAAAGTTTAATAAAGTTATTAATTTTATAAATAATTTTTTTTAAATATAAAAAATAAATATATATATTTATAGAAAATTTATAACTGAAATTAACAATAATAGTTAACTAATGTTCACTATAAAATATTTAGTTAATATTTGTCTCCAATTGTACTCATTTATACTTTAGTTATACAACACTTTAGAAATGTAATAAAATAAAAGCATATTTGCCATATTTCACACCACATTAATTGGTATTTTATTACAATAATATATATCTTAAATTTCAATTAAACGTAAAATTACTATATATACATATATATCTATATGTATATATGTGTATATATTGAAAAATATGGTATATTTTTTAAAATACGTTTTGCCTTTTCATAAATAATTTATTATTTTTCTTGAAATTTTTATTATAGATAAATATTAATATGTTTTGATCACTGAAAAAGTGAATCCCAATGTTATTGAATGGTTTCCAAATAAAATAAAATATCACAAACACTAAACATGACTAACATGTGTGCAGAGAAATCTAGACTCAAAATACAGTAATTATAATTTATATAAAAAAGTTTATAATCTTAAGGAAATAATTGCATAAAAACTAATTACAATTTTATTTATTTATTTAAATAATGCAAAAAAACAATTTGAATGTGCAAAATTTTCAAAAGTTTAATAATATTATCAAATTACATATATAGAAATTAAAGCAAAAGTTATAATACTATAAAAACCTAAATTACAGGTGTATTACATTTGCCCCCAGGGTTTAGGTCATTGGGATATTCCAGTCGTTGTTTTAGATTTTTAGTTTAGATTTTTATTTATTTATTTTTATTTATTAGAAAACCCCATATGCTTATTCCCAATTTTCTATAATATAAAACTTTATCAATTTTAAATATATGCCAACTCGTAGGTTTAAAAAAAAATCTACCAAAACTTGTCTGTTTGCTATATTTTTTTTTGCTGCAAAATAAAAATAAATATTTTTAGCAAATGTATTTTTGTACTGAAAATAAATTGTTACAAACAATTTTCAATAAAAGTTAAATATATATACAGTATATATACAGTAAATTTATACAGTATATGTGTCTCTCTTGAAATATATTATTTTAATTACTAAAATATTTTTTTATTCAACAAGTCAAGTAAGCTGTATATATATAACTTATATAATATTTTAAAAATGACAAACAAGTTATTCAAATGTGTTTTTCGAAATATATTTTTACTGTATATAAATAATAATAAATAACTAGAAATGATTCAATTATTTTTTTTCAATAAATATTTTCATTTGTAATAATAATAAAATGCATTATAAATCTCAACAAAAACAATGTTAACACATATAGAGTGAAATCACTCGCAATACTCGTGATTTTAAATTAAGGAAAACTTATATAAAAGTGTTATTTTAAATATAAAATTTAAACAAATTTTTTTTTTAATGACATTATAATTCATGGATTTTGTTGTTATTTATTTTATTATTATTAAATTATTAAATAATTATTTTAAAATTACTTTCTATTGATAATTATATAAATTTTTTGATAATTATATATTTAAATGATTTCTAGTGAATAGAATTTTATTATTATTAATATTATATATAAATAATAAAAATTAATAGTTATGTTAGTTATTAAACAGCAATAATAATTGCTATATCATTATACTATGAGGCCATTCATTCAACACACACCTAACATATAGTATGTATTATATTATATAATAATAACGAAAAAACATTTCATAGGTAAGGGCTTAGTAACAAAACAACAATAATAATAATAACAGGCATTCAGTGTGTGTATGGCATTAATATTACAGCTGTTATAATACTGTATAGTATTACCCAATCCAACCTACCAGTGCTATGCTATGTACACACTGAGCATGTTGGACCTTGCACCTACAGGTGACGTCACCAATGCAGCGATATTCCTCAAGGTCAGGCACAGGTCGCAAATACATACACACCAACTGTGCTAACAATTAATTATCGCTATATATAATGAGGACAACCATATAAATTCATAATAACATGCAGTTAACTAATGGCTCATATTATTTGATAGTATGGCTTATATTATATTACAAGCAATAGATATGATTAGAAATTATTTTTTTATGCATTTACTAAATATACAGGAAATTAGACTATTTTCAAGTCATATAATACAGTATTACTGTATATCGATATCGATGTCAGAAAAAGCGATTCCCAAATAAATAAGTTGTAAACAACTGTAAAGAGAAGTATAGTATAGTTTAGGGGACGACATGTCTAACTATCCCTTTAATGTAAAGAGAGTTTGTGTTAAGTGTATGAAACACAACAACACATAACATAACATACAGTATATAATAGCGATTCACGTGAGCACCTCATGAGCTACACTATGCTTGAGTTACGCACTGATTGTTTGGTGTTATGTAAAGTCCAATACAAATGATGTTTTTACGGGACATGTCGTTCCCGTTTTTATTATTATTTGCTACCGATTTTCTAAAGTTTTAAATTACTATCTAGATAATTTATCTATTTTTTTTAAACAATCACGAGTTAAATAATTTTATTGAAATTTGATATAAGATAACAATAATAATAATTAATCATTTAAACAATTTATAGGGAAATATAAACAATGTAAATGTAGTTTTAAAAATTTTCCAGTATTTACTGATATATTATATTATATAATAAAAACAATTAGGATATTTGGGATATACTCATCATTAATCATAAATTGATTACATTGAAACACCAAACAACTTGATATAGAGATTGATTAATTAATTATTAGTAATAATTGACTTGCTTATTCATACAATTAGTAATTTAATAATAATAAATAGTAAACATAAAAAAATTACAAATTAAACAAGTTAAAATATTCTTATTGTATACTCTTATTATAATTATTTAATTTTTAAACAAAAAACCTTGGTGATATTTTTTAAACATAAAGGTTCTGGAAATAATCATTTTTAGTTAAATATATAATTAAGATAAGATACTATTAAATATAAACTTGACTGATATGTGTTTTTTTAATTTGATGAATACCCGGCACAGTTTGTTTGATGCAAACCTAACCCAGTATTAGATAATGTGTTTGTGTTTGAAAACCCGTGAGAAGTCATATCTAGTATTGAATGGGCGGTACTTAGAGTTGAGTTTTTCAGCTTTTATTTTGATTGAAAGCGCTATAAAAACAGCACAAAAAACTAGTCAAACAATTCAAACACTAAACTCAACACTGAATTTGAATTTAAAAACTAATTATTATTAGATTTTTATTTTAAACACAAAAAACAATTAATAATAATATAATAATAATTGCTTTCATTTGTATGGCTTTGCAGTTGACTGCCAAACGACGACAGCTTAAGTCATCGATGTCTCGCCAAAGACACCATTGATTTGCAAAGAAAATCTCATTTTTATTTTCTGCAAAACATATGAAAAGCAAACTAAAGACCAAAACATCACTTCAAAGAGTCGACTCTTTAGTTGTTTTATAGTTTTTGTTTTATTAACCATTTTTTTTGGCGAAGAAGAAGAAAGAGAAGACAAACAGATGATGTCGTCTATCAATAAGATAACGCCATTGAATGCCATGAATCTGTTGCAGACGAAAGCCATCGCCGAATTTGTGGCCAAATATCGTAGACAAGAGTCGCGACAACATAATAACCGATGGCCACAATTAACGGGTCTTAACATACATCTGAGACAATTGATAATCGATTATATCACAAACGAGAAGATAAATGTCTCACCAAAATTGATCCAAAGTCTTATAGTCGATGGTCTTCAGCGACTGGATCTGTGGTCATTGTGCGAGACCAACACATTGACCACAACAGAGATAATGGCAATCTTGGAGACAATCGCACAGAACTCCAAATGTCTTCAATGGCTTTCATTGGGCGGTAATGAATGGATATTAAACAACAAAGTAATTAAAGGACCGCTGAAGAGGATATTTGAAGGTAAACTTCAACAACTGGTCACTCTTCGTATGCAATCGATTGCATCGGGAGAGGACCTGTTGGCTGTTCTCAAGTCGTGTCCGCGACTTAAACGTCTAGAGATCCGAATGCCATCGATAACATGCAGAGATATCGATCGCATCGAAAGTCGTCTCAAGACATCTACTGATGTAATATCTAATCTCAAAGAATTGCTTTTACCATCGAGTTTCAAATGCCGATCATTAATGAAAATGTTGGCCATATTTAGTAACATTGAAACACTTAAATGTGTGTCATTTGAACAATTACTTGACTTAATCGACCTGTCAGTGACCATCAGTCCAAACACCAGCTATTCAGAAATGGCTTCATTAGCCAAGAAAACATTGTCATCGCTGACAAGCCTAACAGTGACACAAGCAATGAGTTACGACTCTATTGAAAGATTGGTAACAATGTGTCCAAAAATTCAAAGATTGTCTCTCGAAGTACAGGATGGTATGCTATTGTGGCCAATCACTAGACTCGTTGACCTAAAGCACTTGGAGCTACGGAATACTCCGTCAGTGCCAATAGACTTGTCAAACCAAGTGTTGCCAATACTCGAGGCTAAAGGCAAACAATTGGAAGCGCTATCATTAGAGTACTTCGATGTCATTGATTTGGGTGTTTGTACCAAAATGTGTTCAAATTTGCAGCGCTTTTCTGCTCAATGGTTCACAACTCTTGCCTATCCCCGACCCGATATGCCTTCCAGTTTACGAGACAAAGCATTGAAAGAGCCGTTCTCTGGTCTGACTCACGTACGTCTGAGACCCAGTTCTCAGCGCAACATTCCTTCCAACGCGTGTGCCTTTCTGTTGGCCGCAGCCAAACGGGTCACCCATATTGAGCTTTACTGTTGCTTTGATCTCAGCGACGGCGACGTTCAAGTGTTGTTCTCGAAGAATCCGATGACACACTTGAGATCATTGATTTTAAGACACGGACACAAAGTGACCAAAGAAGCACTCAATCTTCTGGTTAGCCGAGCCGATGGCCTGGCCTTTGTTGACTGCGGTATTCCGCTCAAAGACGAGTAGTAACTGATATACATAAATATAAGTTATATATTCATTACCGAAACCCCCCAACAATCACACTCAGCACAACACTAACAGACCTCCCAATTGACAATATGATCATAATTAGTATCATAATAATAATAATAATATTAATATTAAAAAATTGTTTTATTATAAAATTATATAATATAAATGATTAACGATAAATGAGTACAATTTTCAAAGCGAATTTTGCATAAATATATTTAAACTGTTTTTTAATTTAATTTTTTTTGACTATTTCTACGCCTTATACTTGTAAAAACCCCTTTATGTATATTAATCAATCAATTGTATAATTAATGCTAAATATTGTAAAATAATTTATATATTATATTGTATATCTCTATATATTTATTTTCTCGCCAATTAATTTATGTCTAATTTGCGGGGAATTTCTCTATTAAAAAACTACAGCTAAACTCACAGTTATTTTGTGAAACAAATTATATAATATTGTGATCCTTTGCTATACAAACAAAAAACAATTTTTCTCATTATTTATAACCAAATTTTGTATTTATAAAAATTAATAAATTAAAAATTGGTTACTAATTATTATTTAATATAAAGTTATTTCTAAAGTTATATAAAGTTAATTTTGTTTATTAAATGTTTTTTAATTTTTACAATAATAATAATATTTTTAAAGCTACTGTACTACATATTGTTGATAACCTTAAAAAGAGTAATTTAATGTAAATAATGTATGAAATACAGTATAAATTGTTTTTAGACTTTGGTTTGAAAACAATTATTTTTACGACAAAATAGTGTAGTAAAACATCATTTAAATTGAATGTATGTTTATTTGAAATTTATATTTATTTAATATTTATTTTTTGTTGTTGAATACATTATACTTAATACATATTCATATGATATGAATTGATAATACAATACTGTTTGGGAATTATTCATATGTTTATTATAGCGTATTTTATTACTAAAGTTTTTTTATAAAAAATAATAAATATTGTCATGGTACAATTATTAATAACTAATACAACAATTAAACCCGTAATATCTTATTGAAATAATATACGTCATTGCTATTTAATTTAAAAAAAAATAATAATTATTATTATATATTAAACATTTATCTTTATTATATTTTGTATCTTATTTAAAAAATAATTATAACTTTTAATCAATTTAGACATATTTTTTGTCAATGGTATTGATTAATGACAATTATAGCAGGGGTTTTTAAAAATAATACAAAAACACAATAGTCTAGCAAAATGTTTACACAATTACTTAATACACAATTAGAAAAAATATTATATATAATTTATTAATATAGAGATTATAGTAGGATTTATAGTAGTATAAAAACAAAATTATTGACAACAGTTTATACAATAGTACTAAAATAAAATATTTTGAGGAAAATTAGTCAAACAAAAGGAAATAATAAATTAGTTGAAAATATTTTCTAAACTTATTATATCTTGTGTTATAAATAATATAAACAAATTATTATTATACTAAAAAACAAATAGCTCGACAAAAAAAGTGTTTATTACAAAAATGTCTGTCAAAATAATTAAATAAAAAACTGTTGTAATGATAATCATTTGGGAAAATTCTTTAAACATTTACTATTATACAGTATATTATTTTGTTGAATAAATTTTTTTTGGTTAAATTTTTTAGATTCAATGCCAGAAAAATAAGTTTGAAATTAGAGTTAGTTTTTATACAATTTTGTTATATATTTGAAATTTTAATATTAGAATTATATCAAACATTAAATTAATTAATTAAATAATTAGATTAAAAATAATAATTATTTAATTATTTATCATATAATACTGTATTTCTACATTTTAAAATAATTATTAATATTTTTTTTAAAAATAATAATATATGATTAGTTTGCACCATCTGTTATTTCAAAAATTAATTTGCTTAATATTTTAATAAAATTTATTTTAATAAATTATTTAATATTTTATTTGTAATGATATCTAGTATATTATAATAATAACAATTAGATAAAGTCTGAATTATAAATTTAATTACTAATAAAGTGATAATTGAAACACAAAACTATATCTAAAATTTCATCAATGTTAAATATTTTGTTTAGAAATGATTTTCTTAAAATTAGCATTTTAAAAATAATTTTGGATATAAAATTGTTTATTAAAATTAATTATTGAATATTTTACTTATAAAAAAGTACATTTATTTAGATGACGAAAACAAAACTAGAAAACAATGTTTTTACCAAATATTTAATAATAAAATACTTATGGTATGAATATTTTATAGACTTATCTTTAAAATATTGAATACAAATGCCTTTATAATATGTAAAGTTTTTTAAAAAATAAAATGAGTGATGATTTATAAAATATAAATTTTATAATTAGTAATATTCATCTAAAATATACTAAACATACCTAATAAGATGTTTTATTTAATTTATAATAAGTTATACAACTTATACTATATAAATATATTTTAATCATTAAATTATAAAAATTAATAATATTAATTACTGTATTTATAATCTTTAAATTATATTTTATTGTATATTATATTCACTGATAAATTACATCATGTAAGTCATATAACATACGATATATTTAATATCAATTAAATGAAAACATTTATAGAATTAAATTTCAAACATTAAACTAAATAAATAGTTTTAAAATTAATTTAAACATTAAATACATTTATCACATGAATTACCAAAAAAATATTAATAAGTAAACCGATAGCTATTTGAAACATTTTTATGAGAGAACAGTCATCGACAGATGATTGAGTCATAACCGTAATATAAGGACAGTTAGCATAATATCTGACAATCTATTGGGAATTGTAAGTTAAAAATTTAAAACTTATAAGTTATAAGTTATAACTATCTAAAGATGTATAAATCTAAATATATCTTTCAAATAAATAATTTTACTTTTCAATAAATTAAATTAAATATTCACACATTTTAATTGCTAATAATAAAGATATTCTCAATTTATTCTGTAGTCTTTATCAATAATTTTATAACTATTTGTATTTATAATAAAAAAAAATGACAATGGAAAACAAATATCATATATACATGCAATTTACAAATAGTTAAATATATACAGTTTATTATTTCATTTTATTTATACACAGGTATATAATGTTTGTTTTTTATTACAAATAAAACATTATTGATTATTTATTTATTTTAACGATACAGTATATTGTAAGGTAATAATAATAAGTATTATTAATAACGTTAAATATTGAAAAAATTATCGATAATTTACAATTCATTCTATAATGTTATATATTTTTTAAATTGTTAAAAAATTATTATGACTACTAACTATGATTGTAACTACATTGAAAAATAACTATTTATAAATAGATAAACTAATATTTATAATTAAAAAAAATCAATGTATTTACATAATATACAATTACAACAATCACTTAAATAAATTGCTATTCAATATGTTAAATAAATTGAGTTAAAATATGGTATTAATTTTATTTTTCATAAACTATTATAGTACTGTACTATAAATTATGTGTTATATTGAATATTCAATTTTAGATGTTTTAACGATCCATTTTTATAGACATATAATATTATAGTGTGTTATAGTGAGAGTGTGAGACAGTCAGTGATTTAATGGGCGATAGTATTGAGTGAGTGAGTGAGTGACACACCGGGAGAAACAGGTTTCAGGAAAAAATAAAAAACCAAAAAATAAAAATATTTGTCTCAAAACAAAACAACACAACAATTGACTCCCAATTATATGTTATATTGAACTCAATGCTTGAATCCATTGAATTGTATTGATTTTAAATGCAATAAATTAATGACAATTATATTGCAAATCATTATTTGACTGTCGATTTATATTCACTGTTATTGTTATTATTGTTATTATCATATCATTTGTGTTGACATTTACTGATTAAATATTAAATGTTATTATTATTATTATTTTAATATAATATTAATAATACAATAATAGTGTATAGTATTTGTTATTAAATATAATATAATTGTTGTCCATTACATACAATCAGAAACAATGCGATTGTGCGGCAAATGTCTAAATCATGGCCACCGGATCCACGAGATCGGTATGCATGTGATTAAGTGTACGTACAAAACGTGTCAGTGCGACAAATGTGCCGCACGTGTCCAGACAGAGGTAGTCAAGACTGTAGTGAAGACTAATAGTATTGCCGAACCTATTAAAGACAGTATTGTTGCTATTGTTAACGGAAACAACGGTGTGGTGGCGGCGGACAATAACAACGTGTCCGTACAATTGCCAACAACTCGTGACACGTGTACGACGACACTAGAAACACGTGCTATTCAAAAGGCTCGACAGTTGAGCAGCCGATTGGCTAAGTATGACGTGTCCGACGATGTGCTGCGGACAGCTGTTTTGTATGCCGTACTCAAACAAAATAACCTCAACATCGATGACACGATAGACAAGTTATATGAGGCCCGCACTCTCATTACCGAAAGTATTGTTTCGGAACACTTCGGAAGCAATGAATCCAATGATGACAACGACTCGTCATCTGATGAATCTGTTGGCCAGTTAGACATTCCATGTATTTTACGTAATCCGAGCCATACGGGCGTTCAAAAGGCCAGAAAGTCATTTCCGAAACAACGACCGCCGAAACCTGTTATTACTGAGAAGACTTGTGATAGAAATGGCAATCATATTAATGGCAACAACTCGTTGACTATTAAGACACCAATGCCTTCGGGTCTGAATTAATCAAAAATTTATATTTAATTTTTGGTTAATTTATTTGTCTTTTATTAATTATAAACTATTATATCTTTTTTTCATTCTTTAAATTAGTTAAAACAAATGAACCGATTTTAGCTAATTCTTCATTTATTAGCACAACAACAGCTACAACCAGTTCTAGCAAATTATTACCAAACAATATACTGACCAATCGATCGCAAACTATTATATCAGATATATCGACGAATAAAACGTCACTTAATATTACAATTTCAAACAATAATCCCGTCATTACGTCTCACTTGAATCGGTCTCCTATTGATGTCCGACCCAAACCAATAGTGTTGGGCTCTACACTGATACCTATGAATCCCAATCAATCCACTTATATGTTTATGCCGGTTGTCACCAACACTACAGTCAGTACTAATAATGAAAATACACATCACATACCTGTCCCGAAGCAAACCAGCACAAGTGTCACATTAATTAAGCCTACATTCTTAACTAGTCGTCCAAAAACCACTCAATCTCTACACAAAATGAGTTCCCCTATTAATAGATCTACCGGTAATCGTATTTTACTGCCTAAAGAGCCACTCACTACTGGTCCCACATCACATAAACTTATACGTTTGAGTACACCTTCACAGACGACTACTGGTATAACTAGCCAACAAAAAACAATTAATCCGGTATTTCAAAAATTTTCGACACCATCACCGATAATGGGTTCAAATAATACAACTAATTGTTTAAGAAATTATCGAAAATCGCCAGTCGTTCAAAATCGTAATGAATTAATAAACAATCAAAAAGATAAGTTATGCGCTAAAATTATTACACCCGAAGCAGCACTGGCAGCCATATCAGCCATAACTACTTCAAGACGACCCATTGGTGATGAATATATACTACCCGATGGTGTCGATGATGGCATTGAAGAGGAGCCTAATAGTAATGATCTCAAACACTCTAAGTCCAGTCTATTGCTTAGTAATCACAGAAAGACAGATATCTCTTCATTATTATCATCCGATTCCAGTTATCACGAATCCATTCCCTCAACGAGTAAACAATTTAATAGTATTTTAATCCCAAATAGAGTACTCGCGAACAAACATAAGGAAATTGTTGTCATTGATATTGACTGATATAATCAAATTAAATATACAAATATTTTATTTTTTACTAAATTCAAAATGAGTTAACTATTTGATAATTTTATTAGTTATTCTCAACAATTTTTCTCAATTTTATTTTTATTTAGGTTTATTATTATTATAATAAATTAATGTTTATTTAATATTTAAGTATTAAGTAGAAAAATATTGTCAACTTACGGTAGTTTATTATATGTTTGACTTAAAAATAGTATATAATTTTATAATTATTAGTTTTACTTTATATTTAGCTTGAATCTTTTTCTAATTGTTAGCAAAGCTAAATTGTTTTGTCCATATTGTTTAAATTATTTTCATCACAATCATGGTATGAAAATTATAATAGCTAAATATTATAAATATTTAGTACAATAAAAAAAGTGATAATAAAATTTATCATCATTTGCCTTACCGTATAATTGAAATAATAATAATTGAATAATATTTGTCTATATAAGTCTAATAATGTAATTCAAATTTTATTTATCAATTAAAAAATATTTTTGTTAATCATTTAGTTGATAACATATTCACACAATCAAAAAATTAAATAATTTACTGGTAGTCATCGTATTGCTTATAATTTATAATAAGTTAAATAATAAATATTTACATTATTATTGAAAATATATTTCAAATAAATTTAATATTATCGTCTGATACTGTATTTAATATTTACTGATTTATATTAAATATATATATAATATGATAATTTATATCATATAAAAATTATCACAATTTCAATGTTATGTAACAAAAAAACATCTAAAAACAAGTCACATGTCTTTTGATTGCGGAATATCGTCTGATGTCTTGAGTTCATCTGATGTCTTGAGTTCATCTGATGTCTTGAGTTCATCTGATGTCTTGAGTTCATCTGATGTCTTGAGTTCATCTGATGTCTTGAGTTCATCTGATGTCTTGAGTTCATCTGATGTCTTGAGTTCATCTGATATCTTGAGTTCATCTGATTTTTCCACCGGTTTGTTCATCAAATGTCTGTGTTTTATATCCGATTGGATCTCTTTCTTAATATTTTCGGCCAACAGTTTTGTCTGTCTCTTATTTTCTTCAAAAGCGTCGATCTCTTGTTGGCGTTGTTTTGCGGCCAACTCTCTCAACTTGCGCTCCCTTTCTTCTTCTGTATTCACGAACACTTTGTCACAATTGATCCAATCTTTGTCATCGGGTTTGATGTCTCTCTTGTCAATCAATATTTGCAGACATAGTTTGACATCAACTGTTTGGTCCTTAAAGTAGATGTGGTCTTCTGATTGTTTCCAACCACAGCTAAGAAGCAACTGTTGAGCTGATCTGTGTCTCCACACCTTTGCTGAGAAGTTCTTGTTATTGGTGTTGATCTGTCTGTGCTTTTCATTATCACTGTTGTGTACCAAACCCTTGTATATAACAATCAATGTCTCGATGGCTGTCCTCAAATCGGTGCGACCGATGGTTTGGTCAGATATCATGGCATTCAATAAACTACGAAACGTTTCATAATATAACGCCTTTTCGCTCATGATTTGGCACAAGAAGTGAATGATTTGATCCACAAATTTGGACAATAATTTCAATACAATTTGTTGTCACAGAAAATGTTGTCTCAAATAATTAGTTTGTTTTTGGGTTTGAATTTCAACTTTGAATCAATTAATTTGAACACTAAATGTAAGCAAATGTCTACAACAGTCAAACATAAAGTGTACTTCAATGCTATATCTGTCAAACTGTATGTGTATTACATAAATGCAAACAATTTTGTTGACATTTCTATTGTTTGTTTATTTTCATGTTTTTTTTATCACAAATTTCGTGTTTTATTAATAATAAAAAATACAATCAAAACACAAATACTGTAAACGTTTTGTGTTGTTATTAATGTCTCAAAAAAAAACATATGATTTGATATTTTTTTAAAGGTTTTTAAAATTGTTTTTAATTATCAATTGTATTACAGAAACAAATAAACAAAAACTAGTTGTCGACCGAAATGCCGCCAAAAAAGTCGACTAAAGAACCGAAAAAGGACACCAAAAGCGACGCCAAAGACGGAGCAAAAGGTGGTAAAGAAGAGAAAAAGGGTGGAAATGCTATCAAAGTATTTGTCAATTTGTTTCTTTTGATTGTCTTCTCATTTGTCTTACCATTAATGTTATCATTTGAATGTATACTATCTTAAGGTTCGCCACATATTATGCGAGAAACAGTCGAAATCATTGGAAGCGTTGGAGAAGCTGAGGACTGGTATGAAGTTCAACGAAGTGGCCCAACAGTACAGCGAAGATAAGGCCCGCAGTGGCGGTGACTTGGGTTGGATGACCAGGGGTTCAATGGTTGGACCATTTCAAGAGGTAAACGAATACATAATAATATTATATCTATAAAAAAGATTGAATTTTTACTTAACATAAATTATAGTTCATATCATTATATCTGTAATCGTTTATTAATTGAAGGCCGCGTTTGCATTGTCCATATCGACCATATCTTCGCCCATCTTTACTGATCCACCCGTGAAGACAAAACATGGTTATCATATCATTATGATTGAGGGCAAGAAGTAATTCATTTATTGATTGGTTATTAATTTTTTTATTTGTATACACATTATGATTGATTAAAAAAATACAAATTAATTTTATTAATTTAAACAAAGTTATATTCATTACTTTATTTATAGTTTTACTCATAAATGATTGTTATGTTTAAAATTTAAGTGATTAATATGACTATTCTTCAATTACCGTATTTATATAATTAAATAATAAAAATTAAATTATATAGCATTAAAAAATAACAATATTGTTAATCCGAAAAAGTTGAATGAATTATAATTATTACCGTACTATTAAAAAATATTTTTATGTCATAATTTCATCGATTGGTTGTGTGTGGAGGAGTCGGGTATCACTCGTGACACTCACTAATTGACACTTACTGTCCATCTTTACTTATAGTATCGAAAACGTTATAATAATTATTAATAAAATCTAAAATCTACATTTATTATATACAATATGTATAAAATTAGATTTTATTTTAAAATGTTTATAATTTCAAACTTTATTACAGAAAATATTAAGCAATAGCTATATTAGAATTTATGTTTAAGGCATTAGAAAATTATATATCAACTGTTAAATACAATAAACCAATAAATACTTTAATAAATTAGGATTTATAATACATTTAATTCAAAACAATAATACAATATATAAACGACAAGATATTATTTAATGGATAATAATTTAAATTATTTGATAGGTATGGTTGAACCGGTTGTCGAGTCGACTGTATTAATGGTACCTAAAGTGGTAAATGAAGGCATTTTAGTGATATCTCCCGATCGTATTGAAGCATTCAATGTCTTGTTTGAATTATCCGATTTTCCTAATTGTTTTAAATAAATTTATATTAAAATATCAATTATTAATATTATTAAATACAATGTTTTTGATTTGTGTCATACTTTTGATAACATAATACACACTAAAGACACACAACGCAGAAATAATAAGTATTATTATAAAAATTAATACAACAAATATCGGAAGTCCATAACTATTGTCAAAAATAGACGATTCGCTCATTGATTCCGTCGATTCTGAAGATTGTGTACTATTTGTTGTCGGGTTTGTCGTGTTGTTAGATGTAATCACTTCAGGAATTTTGGTAATTGTTGTCTCAGTTTCGGCGGTAACTGTAGTCAATGTCTGTGTAATTGGTGTTTCGGTTTCAGTTGTTGTCATTTCAGTAGTGGATGTAATTTCAGATGTTGTTTGTATTGTCGACGGAGTGGTTGTTATAGTTGTCGACGGAGTGGTTGTCATTGTTGTCGACGGAGATTCAGTGGTTGTAATAGTAGTAGTAGTAATGTCTGATTTATGACAATCAACCAAATATTGGATATTATTTTCATCGCACTGTGTTGTAGTGGATAACAAATTATTTAATTTTTTTCTAAAAAAATAATTAAAAATAATTAATTAATAATAATTATACGCTAACCTCCTGTTCAGTCATATTGGTTTTAGTGACACAATATTTAGGTCCGTACGGGTCATCAAATATAACCAAAAATTTTTGGAAGTGATATATTGAAAGAATTACATCCAAATGTAATCTGGGATTTAGTTTTGCAATAAAAATGGGAATTTGATAATATGATGGATCGACTTCAATAAACTCATTTGAATAGGTATTCCACGAGTATATCTTTGCCTGTCTATTGTAACCGTTTCCAGAATCGGTAGACATTATCATTATAGGCATCAGTTTTTCCAGAGAACTAAAAGCCACAGTCGGTGTAAAATCCGAACCTTTCCATTGGTTTCTTAATTCACTGAAATCATTGCTTCCCAATTGATTTATCACAATATAATCCAAGTCTTTCTATTTGTTTTGTATAATAAATTTATTTATACTAATAATAAAATAATAATCTATACTATAAATGGATTACTTTATAAAATGCTCTCCAAATTCCTTTATTTCCGAAATCAAATAAAAAATTCACATCAAATTTGTGCTTAAATTCATTCATATGATAATGTTGTCCAATGAATGCATTGCCATTAATCCTATCATAATATATAGGCCACGAATAGTTTCCAATAACTACTTCTCTCAACTCATCCGTTGGTCTCCTGAAGGTATCATCCAATGCAAAGTCAAATGAGTTATAATTATTAATGTATTTCTCACAGAAGTCATCGTTATTGTGGTCGTCATTGAACACAACTTTTATCAAACCTATTATAATAACTATTGAAATTGAATGAAAAATATCAAAATCAATATTAATTGATATAATTAAACATTAAATTATAAAAAGTATACCTAAAAAGTTGAAATACATTTTATTGTGATCTCAACAAAATTCAAAGTTATAATAATAAAACAAATAATTGATTACTTTTAAAAACTATTATATTTATAATATAAACTACAGTATTATTGAAACATTGTTTATTTGATGCGTTATAAATAATCAATTTTAATAAAATATAAATAATTATTGTATAAAATTTATATAAATATTGAATAAATAATAAATTATATCATAATTGTTGGCATGAATTTAGAATAATAAAAAATAATTTAATTTAAATCTAATAAAATTTCAGAAACCGTTAAAACAATTATTGCATAGTATTTACACAATATTTATATATATAATATATACTTTTATATATAATACTGAAATAATACAATAATTGATTAATTGATATATAAATAAGCTATAAAATAGTTAAACTGTTCTTTACATTGTTGTTTCTCTATTAAATATATAACTATTTTTTGTAAATAATTATTCTTTAGTTAAATTTATTTAATTATTAATTAACTTTTTTAATTAATTAATTAATAAAATGTTTTTAACGACAAGTGATGGATTAAAACAATTATAATTTATTATTCATTTAGTTTTAATACAAATTCAATTGCAGACAAAATAATTATATTGTTAGTGTTTGTTATCTTCAATCATCAGATAAAGTGATCGCAATGACAGTGTCCGACACCGTTGGACGGCTCTACACGAAGACCACGAGTTTGCCTAACAAATCAATATAATTAGAGAGAGAAAGAGAGAGCAATCATAATGGCATTCATCTTATATCTGAAGATAAGACTCACATAAGACAGTGTTGTCTATTGAATCGTCTGTTGGCTGTAAACGCGTTTTTCATTTCCCGCGAACTCCATAGCCGTTCGGCGACTGCCAGTCCACGGGGCCTATCGGGTGATATAGAAAATGTTAGTCTAAAATAATTATAATAATAATAATAATAATAATAATATGACAGTACATACCACGTGCGACCAATCAAGTTGGATCCGTCTACCCATTCACCTGCAAAAATACCAACAAATTAGAGCTAATATCACGAGATAAAGACAATTCATACCCCAAATGGTTGCCTCCCCTCCGATAATCAAATTGTTTTGTTGTTCAGTACCCTTGAAACTGAACGGTTCGCACGTATAATACTTGTGCCAATCGGTTCCGTATGAGATCCTATTCAAGTACCAACACGACGACAGTATAACCTGATAACCAGCTTTGGTAACATTGAAGAGCTCGCTCTGCCAGTTGTCGTACTTCCACACATGTATGATAGTGTCGGGCAATAGTTTTGCTTTATTGTCGAATATCTCCTGCCAGACAATGGATGATCTGTTGAGTGATCTGACGATATCAATCACTTTTTTGATGTAATGTTCCTCTAGTTTGGCAAACTCTATATCTGACTTCTTACTGATGGCAGCAGTCTTTTTAATAATACTTTTGGCTCTCATATAATCAATGATATTAGGATTAGATCGCCAACAGTTATAATCCACTTCATCGCCGCCTATATGTATGTATTGGTCGGGAAAGATGTCAAGAATTTCTTTGAATAGTTTTTCAATGAAGTCATATGTTGATTGTTTGCTTGGATCTAATGGTCCATAATTACCATTTGGTTTACCATTTGTATAGCATTGTGTCATTAACTCTGGGTATGCCTTACCCCAGGCCAGAGTATGGCCCGGAGTATCCAATTCTATCACAACTCTTATTCCTCTCTCTTTTGCATAATTAATGACACGATTGATATCTTCAATGGTATAGATGTGTGTCTTTGAATTATAGGCCCCTTTGAGACTTAATTTAGGATAGACTTGACTGACGTACGGAATTGACTGGTCATCAGTCATATGCCAGTGAAAGACATTCAATTTATTATAAGCCATTGCATCTAAACTTTGCTCTAATCGTTGGACAGATATATAGTGTCGAGCAGTGTCTATAAGTAGTCCTCTATATTTGAAACGAGGAAAGTCGTTAATCGATGTATAGTTAACAATAAACTGATTGTATCCGACATTTTCAATCAATTGTGACATTGTCTCCAATGCCCGTATGGCACCCCAAACACTCTCCGAGTAGATGAGTGTCATCCTATCATTGATATCTATTGAATAGTTTTCAATCATATCGATGTCCGGTTCAGTTTCGCACTCCTGACTGACCAAAATAGTAATGTTTGTCAAAATGCCCTTAAAATTGATATTTTTTGTCAAATTATTTGCCGATTTTTCATCGAAAAATTTTTCTGTTCCGTTTGGGTCGACCAGTGAACAGTCGTCTATGAAAAACAGTTTCTTATATCTGGCAATAGCTTTGTCTAATAGATCACAGTCACCAATAATTGTCGATACAAAGTGAAAGTTGTTTGGATCTATTATGAAGAATGTTTCGTTTATGATCATCGACTGCGGGAACGGCCATATGTTGTCACTCTTCTTCTTTCACACGAATATTTCGGTATTATTCTTGTGGTTAACTGAGTCGTTGTCTCTCATATTAGTGTTTTCCACAGAGTCGATATGTGAGCAAAATTGATTTCAATAAAATCAAATACAATATTTCAAAAAAATATGGCCAGAAACCCGTTACACGACATTCCTCATTACTGTATCGACTGGCACTAAAGCGACTGTCCGTTTGGTGACGATTGTTATCTCAAACATACTTGCTTTCACAGTCTGGATCAACTATTTTAAAAAATAAATAGTTTTTATTACTTAGATATTACTTATTACTAAGATATTAATTTACCCTCGAGTTCGTTGAGGAATATGAAAAATATAGAGAAGAAGGCCCTGTGAAATGTGCGCCGATAGAGCTCATTACTGACAGTCAGATCAGGAAATATCAGTGATTGCATGACTACACCGAAACTGATCATCACTAGTACAGCCAGTCGGATAAAGTTCAAGAAGTCGACAAAAATCATTAACTTTAATCGATAGAGTAGTGGTCCCAATGTGGATGATAGTAGGCGTGTATTAATGCCAAAGACATTACCACTTTATGATTGTAGGCGTCATCGGTTGATGTCGTCTCATACAGAAAGATGAGTCGAGTATTTGCAAAATATATGATAAATAGTATCTAAAGTATCGCTTGAATTATTGACGACATATTGGAGAAGTAGATGTTCAGCCGTGAGATGATAAAGTTCTGTCGTAATCTGTCGACAACTAAACAGAACGTCCAGACGTCCACAACCAGATCGATGTAGAATTAGCCGCAACGGGGATACAGTACGGCTATACTGAATATTGACAAATAAAATGTATAAAACAACTGGTGGTTCCAGAATTTGGTTATCGGTGATGTCCACAAGTAATATAATATCGTAAAAAACGATAAATTAGTCAATTGGTAGGTCTTATCAAACATAAGCAATATCTGATTATCTTTACTGTACGATTTTTTAGGTATCTTTGTATACGACATCCAATACAGTGATAGCGTAGCCAATGAATACCTGTGACTCTTCTTTCAATTGATCGCACAGTTGTTGGTCGACCACAAACCAAGACAAATGTTCATAACAGAGGGCTATAATCAGTTCCAGATGTATTGTATGATCGGAATATCGCCACAGTATGCGCACCAATATCTTTCTGAAGTCCATAACCGCCCAAAACACCAGTAACTTCAGGGCTTTGCGTTCGCCATCTCTTTCAGTGTTCGGAAATTGTTGGGTAACAAACAGATCCAATTCTTCTTGTGATATAAACTGTCGGACACCACAGCAAACATAGACTAAATAGTTGAACTCACGGCTCATAAAGTTTTTGTTTTGTTTTTGATCAACAGTTCGGCCAAGAATTCCTTCCCAACAGACATTGCTGAAGAAGTCTTTTGTTTGAAGCGTACGAAACATTCGCAAAAATGTCTTCGGTTTGACAAATGATCGTAATTTGAATTTCTGCGACAAAAACAGATCAACAAATTTCCAGCGATTACTTCGGATCAGCGACTCTTCGAACAGACTCTTCAGATAAATAGAGTTAGTACTCAACGAAAATGTCGGATCTTTGACAAGCACTTCATTTCGGGCCACTTCCGGACAGTTCCAGTCGATACATAGTCGAAGATCTTTGTGTATTAATGCCGACGACTCTTCGGGAGTCATTTGGCGCTTCTGATGTCCGCCGCTATCAATAGTAGAGTTGGCGACAGAATATTCTTTTCTTTGCGACCGAAACAACGCTAACAACAAATATTCGGTCAAAATTTCCAAATTACACGAATACTTTTCAAACAAATTAAATAATTGTCAAATAGTTTTGACCATTTTGTCGACTTAAACGAATCGATTCGAGTATCCGATTCGGTAATGTCTTCAATAGTACCGAATTGTTTCGCAAATTGCCAAAAGTCTTGACTATCTTTAGTGTCAATTTCGGCTTCAGATATGTTTCGACAAATTCTGGATTCCATTCATTCATACATCGATCGCGAATCTCGATGTCCCCAAAGGCCAATAAATCAGCCAAACCTCCCGTTCCTTGTAAGACAACAACAGGTAGTTCTTCTTTGATAGTATTCAATACGATTCGTGAGCACTCGTATCCACCTTTCATTAATAACGACACAACCGGTACTTCACTTGTTTCTATTGAACACCTGTCGGCGCTCATCTGTGATCCCTCTTTAGTCGGCAGAACATCTGATTGATTCAATGACAGAAACGACATAAACTTATTGATGAAACTGTTGATACCGTTTTTGTTTCGCGATTTGTCTTCAATCAGTATATAATGACTCAAATTTGACTGTAAGTTGTATTTCATATTAGTGTCTCTGTTGCAACCACTGTTGGAGATAGTTATCAATCAAATTAATAAATCAAATACAAGACATTTGGATATCAAATCTAACATTAAAAATCATTTGGTATACAATTGCAAAATGTCGACAATAGTTGACATTAAAATCACGCAAATTAATACTAAATTAAATGTAATTCACACGAGATTTTCAAATAATTCAAATTCAAATTACAAAATTATAACTGTTTTAATCAAATCAATGATAATTAACGGATTTTATAAAAAAAATAACGGTTTTTATAAGAAATTAACGGTAAAACCTCTTCAGTTACCATTTCAATGATAATTTAAGACAAATATAATAAAAAATATTTTGTGTTAATATTTAGTTATGAAAATTAAATACAAATATCATTCAATTTTAAAGTATTTTATTTGAATATAAAAAATACAAAAAACAAAAATTTTGACAAAAATTTAATTCATTGAATCTTCAATTGAAATCTGAGACACACTTTCAATTCCCGGTCGGCTCTTCATCATCACTTTGGGCTTCTTCTTCCTCTTCGACATTTACAACCTTTTCGGTCACCAGATCGCGATCGGCCTCTTTTGGATCGGGATTGTCTTCCTTGGAAAGTGTGATAATATCATTGACAACTTTTTTGAATTCCAGTTGTTTTTTCATTCCTTGTGTTCTCCAGTTCTTCCTTTTGCTTTCGTATTTAAATTCTTTGTTTCTACAATCTGTGATTTCTTCACAGACTTTGTCCTTTCTTTCTTCCAGTCTCGCCAGTCTCACATCTTTTCTCTCCAAAATAGGTGCCTTTTTAGGGCCAACCTGTCGGCCACCAGATCGCGATCGACCTCTTCTGGATCGGGAACGCCTTCTGCGTCTTCCCCCCGAATGCTTTCTGCGACGTCTGGTCTCTACAACCTCTCCACCCGAACTTCCAGACGGGAGAGTCATTTGTTCAGACTTAGCATTGGTGGTTATGTTGTCGTCCGTTTGCTTTACTTCTACTCCTTCTGCACCCGAACCTCCAGACGGAAGTGTCTTTTCTTCAGACTCGACATCGATAGCAATGGTTTTCATTTTCAGTTGATTTGAATTTTGAGATTTATTGAAAAGAAATAATAGAAATGAAATGATTTCAATTCAACGGAAACTTTGCTTTTTATACGAACACAACAATAGTATCGATGTCTCGAACATCACTTCGATATAACACTTGTAGGATATCAATGACAACAATGGTTTAGATATTGTATTGTTTTTCATGAGTTTTGTTTAATTGTCAAAAGTAATGGCAAACAATCGTTTCGTTAAGTTATCGATAAAAACATTGAAACCAGAAGTGCATGACTTCTGGTTTCAAATGTCATTAAAGGTTAAGACAATTAAGGATTTGAAATCAGAAATCAGCGCTCATTTGGCCAAATATTATAGACTTGTTATCGCTAGCTATCAATTGGATCTCTTCACAAATGGTGGTCAACTAAATGATTATTTATCGTCTGAGATCTTCACAACTCATGAAGACATTGAAATCAGATGCAAACTAATCGTTGGTTTAACAAAGACTGAAGAAATTAAAATAATACAATTGGACGACGAAGTGGACACTAATTCAAGTCATCAACTGATCGTTAAACAAGAAATATCTACTGAAGTGATTGTAAAAAATTCAATCAATTTAAGTCAGATATTTACCACAAAAAGTAATGAAATGATTGAATCAGATGATGGCAATGATGTATTCGGAGTCAGTCAACAAAATAAAGTTTTAGATGACAGCAAACCATTGATGACTAATAATTATATCGTCAGATCACAAGAATTGGAAGACATATCAGATAATGAGTTAGAAATTAAATGTTTGTAATTAAAAGTCATTTGGTTTTACATTTAAAGTATAAACACAATACAAATATTAATTAGTAAATGTTATTAAAGTTTTGTATAACAGATATTAAATTAATCTTTTAATATATTTCTAATTGATTCATCCATTTTGTCAATTAATATAATATTGATAATAAATTATATGATTTATACAATGTAATCAATAATATTATAACTATTAGTTAAATAAATGCTGTAATCTTTGGACATATGGATAGATTGTGTCGTTTGGACTTTTAAAAAAGTTTATATATATTTTTATTAACTTTAATATGTTTTCCTAAATGGATGTCTTGAGGAACGACTATATTATCATTGATCCAAATGATAAACACTATGTTTTGATCACACCTTTGTTGGATATCTCGAGTACAGAGACAATGATTTGTCACTAATAATAGTGATTTTTGATTTGCTTTTCAATTGATATTCAATATCTCAATAGCAATTTTTATTTATTAATATATATAAATATATATATAATTTAATTCATATTAAAAATATTATAAACTAATTGCAATTCATAAATAAAATAAAAATTTAGTTAAATAATGTTTATTGTATTAGTTTAATAACTTTCATTTTTAATCATTTGACACATATATTTAAAATTAATGATTATAATAATAAAACGAAATAAATATTGAACACCAAATTAAAAGCAGAAAAAATGGTACCAAACCCTGAATTATAATAAAATAGTTTATATAATTAATTAGTATTTTTGCGGAAAAATTTTCACAATTATTAATTACAATAAAAACATTAAAATACAAAATTTTTTAACACATGAATATTTAATAAAAAACACATTTTTGTAAAAAACAAAAATCGTTTTCTGAAATGCAATTAAATTCTTCATAATTAAAATCATTATAATTTAATTGTGTTTATCAGATATACATAAATAATTTTAATTGATATCAATTAAAATACAAATAAAATATTCAAAAGTTTAATATTAAATATTCAGCTTTTAACTTATATATTATATAAAGTTTTTATTATTAAAATTGTAATTAAACTTTTTATTTTTTAGCTTGAATTAAATAAAAGTATTTATTAAATAATATAACAGTAATCAAGTGTAATAAATTAAACTTTTTCTTATATATATTTAATTGGTTTATTGATTTATTAATTATCACAATATTATTAATTCAATAATATTGATATTTTTTTAATTAGAAAAATTTCAACCAAACTTAGGTAATAAAATTTGCATTTAGTAAAATTTTCAAAAATAACAAATAAATAATAATAAAAAAGTTAAAATAATTACAATAATTGCAATCGATTAGTGAAGTATACAGTCAATCAATATACAGTATATACAGTTTTACATAAAATATCAATTTATTTGTCAATTGCATGAGTGATGGACTATTTAATCTATAGATATATTAGCGAAAAAAAGACATCATTATTGATATATATATTTCCTTATATATATACTCTATTTAAATAACAAAAAAATAATATATAGAAAAACAACTTTAAATATTGTGATAGTCTATTGAGAAAGTTAATGTTTGGTATATTAGGTCCACAAAAAAACGTATAACTCTAAACATCATTAAGGGATGACAAATGATTGTGAAAAACTGTTTGCAATTTAAATATAACTCGACATTTCATGTCATGCACTAATGTTTTTACACTTTCATATGGTTATTATAGTAGTATGCTATGTATTATACTATCATAAAAAATGTATTGTTGTTTTCATTATAGCCTTAAACCCATAGGTGTGTGTGTATTAGTGTATAGTTGAATAGCATACCTGAAAATTATATACTACGTGAATACGTTTTTTTTGGGTTTCGTATTTTGTTTTTGTTAGTTTTTGACATTTTTCATAATTTTTTTTGGGTATTATGTTTCACAAAAATTGCATTATTATTATATCATATATGGTTTATAGACTGAATAAATAGATGATTGTTTATAATAACAAAAATAAAAAGAAAATATATTGTGAGGTCCAGTGATTACAGTCAACTAACAAAAAAAAAACATTAGAGTTTAATAGCCTTTATTCAGTGGTCTTCATATTAAATATTTTAAATATATTTCAATTATATGTTTTATCAATCAAAATATTTTTTTTATTTACATACAAATATTATATCTATAAATGACATATAATAATAATAGAATATTAAATAGAAATAATATATATATATATAATTTCTATACAAAAACTAAAATAATAAAAAACCATTTAAAATAACTGGTTGTATAGGAAAATACATAACACATCACAAATATATTGTATATAAGAAAAGTATTTTTTTTATTTAAAAAATACAATATAGTTAAACAATATATTCATTTTATTAGAAAATTAATATAACAACAACAAAAATTAATATAATAAACTAATAATAATAATAAAGAGGAAAAATGATCGATAAAAATTAAAAAACAATTTTGAATTTTTAATATACATTATATTATATTGTGAAATAACAATACAATTTCATACAGAAATAAATTGATTGAAATCTCAATATGATATATAACCGGACGGCAACTGTGTTAGAGAGAGTGAGAAACGGGTATTAAATAATATTAAATATAATGATTAATTAGTTTTAAACCTAATATTCTCATTAATTAAATGCATTGAAAAATATATTTTTTATATAACACTTAAAATCTTATATTGTAGTAGCAGTGAATGTATACATATATTGTAAATACTGTATATGTTATTATACAATATACTGTATTAATAAAACTATCTAATGAAACAGTTTTTTCTTTATTTTCGTAACTAATTTTTTTTCTCTCAATTAATAATAATATTAATACTAAAGTAAATTTAATGAATAAAAGATGAGCCACTTTTTCACAGTGTTTTTTTCTGTGCATGAATTTCATTATAATTGTTGGATAATAACACTGTTTAATGAAATTTTTTATAGTTTATTTTAAATATACAATATAATGTATATCATATAATTATACAATACTTATAAATAATAGATACAGTGTTATGGTATTCAATATAATGTACTGTACTTGAGTTCACGTAATTATTTTTATATATAAATATAAATAATAGTTTGCCACAAATAATTGGTTTAAATAAAATAGATAATAAATGCTAAAATATTTTATAAATATTTATAATATTTCAAAATGTGTATCCTATATACTATTAAATGAAAAATATTTTATTTAGATATTATTAATATATATTTTGTAAAATAAATGTAATATTTGATGATATTATGATTTTTCGGCCATAACTTTAACTTTTGTTGAGTCGTCTACGACGGTAGTGATGGTGGACAACGACGATTAAAAACTGGCGGAACTGATAGCTGAGTTGACCGATGAGAGTCGTCAGAAGCGGCGGATGAGACCGTTGTGGTCGTCGTCTCGGACGACAACTCTTAGTTGACTACAAGCGATGTCCACTTAGGACGTCGTGCGTTGACAGTCGTCACGTGATATCATTCACGTGAATTCACGTACATATAAATGATTAATTAATATATAGTTTTTAATTAATTTAAATTTTTAAATTTATTTAATTAAACATTTTGAAAAAAAACAATTTGAATTAAAACAAATAACAACGAATTAAAATGTTTATAACTTAAAAATTATAAAATTTTTTATTTTCTTATTTATTTAATGAACTAATAACTAGTAAAATAATTTATATAAATTACATATTATAGGTAATAAACAATTTAACATAAAGCATGCAAATCATAGACATATTAAACAATCAGATGTTTATAATGTTTAGAAAAACATTAAAGTTATAATATATGTTTTTAATACTACTATAATATAAATTGTATTAAAATAAGAAAAAATGCAATGTTAAAACAGTTCAAATAAATTTAATAAAAAATATAAATAAATTATCTGAATTGAACTGTATTATAATTTCTGGTTATTTTGTTTATTCAGTGTGTTTATTAAAACTAAATAATTTTAAATTATAAATTCTCAATTAAAATGATAATTTTGTGATAAAAAATATTTTTAATAAGTTATAACAGTTAAAGCATATATATATTTAAACAATTTATTTTTTTATTGAATTACATTTGAATAAAAATCAGAATCTTAAGTAAACATTATTAACATATACAGTATATTCATAAAATTGTTAAATAATTAGTTTATTTTGGGATTTAAAAAATTCTTTATATTAACCTTAATATTTATTTTTTAGTAGTTTTTAAAATTTTAATATTTTAATATTTATATATACAGTATACTGTATTTGCCGTGTTATAATAGAAAAATGTACACAAACCATGATATTAAAAATACTATTGAATAAATAAAAGTTTTGTTTGTTTTTTATATAATTAAAAGCGATAGTTTACTATACAATACAATATTTATAAATATCATATAAAAATTTGTCATGTATTTTATATTTTACTATAATATTTATTAAGTTATATAAATACATAAACTAAATTTAGGTTGAGTTGTAGTAAAAACTTGTTTAAAAAATTTAATAATTTTTTCTTTTATATTAATTTTCTACATTTTTAAAGTAGAATTTTATAATCAATCAAAATTTATTTAATATTGGTTTTAATTATATATTTGTGGACAACAAATCTATCATTTATATATTTTTAAAAATAATATATTTATATGATAATAATGAACATATATTAAATATATAACACTAAAAAACCCTTATAAATAATGTATTATAAACCATTTATTAAAATGATGTATGTATACTGTATATATATTTAGGACAATTTGAATAAAATTTAATAACTTTTTTTTATCTTATTATATTTACAGTATATCTTTACATTACGTTATGTAATTTACTTATCTTAATATTTTATAACTAAATTATGTTATATATGTAAATATTAAAATTTATAGTTGGTTAGTAATAATAATTAATTCATTAACATTTATGGTTTTTAATATAAAGTCTATCTTAATCTAAATAGTGAATTTTATAAACATTTATTTATTTAATACTATGCTATGAAATAAATTTAACTAAAAATAATTTTAAATATAAAAATAAGTCATTTAATATTGTTTTAAAATATTAACAAAATTTTTAAAAGCAATTCATCAAGCAAAAAAGATATTGATTGTAAAAAGCAATACTTTTATAAAAATAACTTAATGTATAAAAACTAATGTTACTTATAGTACAATTTCATTAATTTTTAAATAAATTTCCAATAAAACAATTTTTATACAATGACATACTGTACAGTATAATATATATATATATATATATATATATATGCATAAAATATAATATATTTAATATATGAAAACTTGTTTTAACTAATCATTATACAGTATTATATCATATATAATATAATGATTTTTTTTTGTTTAGATAGTCTAGAAAACACATTAAATCAATTCACATAAAAATATTGTTTGGTGTGAAACGTGATAACACATTAATTTGTTTCAATATTTTATTGAATCGGTCGGCAATTTTACACAAAACAAAATTAAGTTCTCATTTGCTTATCGAGAATATCTCTCTTTCTATTACTTAAAAAGTCTTATTTGGATGTTTGCAGCGTATAAATCACATTAAATGCTTATTTTTGTGAAAATATTTTTACTATTAATTTATAAATAGCTGTATCGATATCATTAAAGAGATGTAAATGAAACCAACAAAAAATATATTTATACAGTACTTACAAATTAAAAAGATAGTTTAATTGGCATTTTATCAAATAATAATAACCGGTTGATTACATTATAATTATGTCTCATTTTAGTCACACATTAAAGATTAGTGAAATATATTAATATGTTTAAGATTTTGACAATAATTTTCATAAATATTATTTAAAAATTAATTTCTATGACTAATAATATTTCATTATAATAGGATAGACTACTATTTTTCAAGTATTATTTGGTTAATTTTTTTAGACTTTATGTACACAATAATGATGACCCCGTCATAAACGTTAAAAATATATACAACAGACTATATTTATGATATAAAATTGTGTCAATCAATAGTTTAAGGCAAAACTATTTTTTGTGGATAAAAATCAATAAAAACTAATCCACATTTAAATTAAATTATTGATTTATTGGGTAATAAATTTTTATTGAAATTAAATAAGAAAAAAAATCTAATATAAAATTGATTTAACTTACATCAAGATTATTTAAATTAGTATTAAAATATGTTTTAACTTAAAATCAAATATTGCTTTTTAATATAATAATTTAATATACATTTTAAATTATTATAGAAATATGTAGAAAAAATACTGATATTAAAATTTTATCAAAATTTTTATTAATTTATATTTAATATGTTTTAATAATTTGTAAAGTTTTTTTTAATGAAAATTTAATATATTATTAATAACAGATTTAGAAAATTATTTAGAAAACTGTTCATAATTTAATGTATAAAATAATTTTTTTACTCATAAACATTAATAGTAATGTCCTAATAATAGCAAAAAATTGTAATCTATTAAAAAATAATTATTGTCATAAAATTAAACAAAAATTTTTATTATAAATGTTTTATATAAAACATGATAAATATTATCTAATAATAATGAATATTATAAATATATAAATTACAATTAATATAATAAAATACTATAAAAATTATCAAATAAATATAAAATACAATTAATTTTTATTAACAGATAATATAATAGTAAAATTAGAAACTATATGTAGTAGAAACTAATGTTAATTATTATTACATAAATTTATAATAATTTGTGTCTGGTATATTTAATATTTAATTTTTTAATTTTTAAAAACTATTAAATTTATAAAAAAAAATTAGTATACAATTATTACAAAAATCAATGAATTGCCATAATAAACATATGTAAAAATAGCAACAAATTATACAATAAAAAATATATATAATGTAAATAATAAAACTTAGATAAATAAATATATATCATAAAATTTAATAATGTAATTTAATAGTGATACAAAGTTTATACAAATAGTCAATTAAAAGCCAATTTAGTAATTGATACAAAAGCAGCAAATAAAAAAAAGTTAACTGAAATTTTTATTATTTATCCAAGACTACTACAATTACTACTACTACTACTTGTTGTGTCAATAATTATTGATAACAAACAAACAAAAAATACAGATGTTTTTTATTTGTTGCATATATACTATCATAAAAAACAAAACTTGTATAGCAATTGAATAAAGTTTTTTTCATTTAGAAAACTGATATCTGATACAAAAAAGTAAATTATATATATCTATCTATTGGCAAACCAAATGGTGCTAAAGCCTATCACAATTGGCACCCACAAGAAGGCACTGGTATGTTGTTAGCTAAGCGCCAGTAGATAACAGGTTAGCAGCACTTGGTTTGGTTGTGACGTTGCGCTACCACTCTATTCAAGCGATACAACTGATGCGATGCCTGAGCTGTAAAACGATTTGAAATTATTCGTTGCATTGAATGCTAAGTTGAAAGCCATACACAACTAAACTAAACTAAAAACAGTGAATGCAATGCAATGCTTATCCAAAATGTGTATGTGTTATGTGTACTCTCTATAGACAAAAGTCAATGATATTATAAGAGGACTGGTATGTGTATGTGTAATACACTAAATGATGCTTAGGTTACAAACATTGCAATAAAACTTAATAATAATAATAATAGAAAAGTTTTATCAACTTTTTAATTGAAGAAAAAACATTATTTTCTTATATAAGTTATATTTGTGTTTTATGTACAAAAAAAAATGCCAATACATTTGGAGACTACTTTTAAATTAAAGTTTATTTAAAAAATAATTTGTTATATATGTTTGTATTATTGATGCTATAAAATTTAATTAATACTATATGCGCTCCAATTGTTTTATTGGGTGTTCAAACAGCGGCTCTCAATTTATATCCAATTTATATATATATATATATATCTATCTATAAGTCTATATCCAAATCTATTATGGTTTTTGCTAATCAACACACAAGTCGTACACATCTGTTAACCACATGAAGACAACACACAATAAATATATATAAATATAATCATAATATTTGTGTTAACCATTTATTTATGGCATTTATATATATATATATAATTGTTTGGCATATAAAATGCTATGTACTGTCAAAAATTTCACCTCAAATATCATCATCTATTGAAAAATAAGTTCAACATTAAGTTGAGTGATTGTTTTACACACAATACATGTTTTTTGAACACAATATAGTTTTTTTGTGTGTGTTTTGTCTAAATAAATAAATAAATAAAAATGAGCTTGATAATTGGAACAGTACCTGTGCTGCACATACTTGTGCTGATCATCATCTCAACACTACTATTATTTGTTGTTGTTATTCACGGAGAGAGCTTAGGTATGTTTTTTAAACAAAATTTTTATTTTACTCTTTTTTAAAAACTTTAAGGTTATTTAAAATTATTCATTGAAATGAATAATCAGTTAATAATTAAATAATAAATTTGCAAATATTATCATAAAACAAATAATATTAACAAATAATTAAATTTTGTATAATTTTATTAAACAAACAATTTTTTCAGAAAATGATAATTTTATCATATTTATTTTTAAAATCAAAAAATAAACTTTTATTTTTGGTTTTATTATTATTATTATTACTTAATTACTAATCATATCGGACAGGTTTGACCCATATAACCATTGTTTTCAATATAAAAAAATTATTGCAAAAAAATTAAGTTTTTATTTGGGTATACTATTACAAAAATTTTAAACTTATTTTATTTTATTGTATTCTTACGAAAAAAAATTACACAAATTTTTTAAATTTTATTGAATATAACATAATATTATAGCATTTACTAGTATTTTATAACCAAATAACATATGAAATTAACAATTTTGACATTAATTTATTCCCTAAAATGATTGTCATAAGCCTTAATACGAATTGAGAAATACATAATTCATTTCAATAACAAAAAAAATATTTTTTAGTTATTCACCGAAAAAATTATATTATATACAAAAAAAAGTATATTTTTTGATTTTTAAATTAAATCAACATTTTTTTTTGAATACGGTATATACTTATCCAACTTTCAATATACCTATAATAGGAACAAAAATTATAAATTTATAAATTTGATTTTTTTCTGAAATATAATATTTTAATATTTTTTGACTGATATATGCTATTTATTGGTTAAATACATTATAATAATCCGACTTCAGGTGTTTTTTAAACATATGGTTATCAAAAGAAAAAAATCTTATTGAATAATTTTGAATGTCAATATTATATCAATTTTTAGTAATATTAATAAATTGAGATCACTGTATGTAATGATAAGTTAAATAAAATAAAAATTTGGTTTAAGTTTTGCATATAATAAACATTATAAATCTACTACTAAATTATACTATAATATATTATATATTTGGTGTAAACTATAATTAGCCAAATATATATATATATATATATATATATATATATATATGAATAAATTTTTAGTGGTTTTAAGTGGGATTTACATTAAGCAAAAAAAAAATCTGCTAATATTTTATGATTAACTTTTTAAATATACTTCACAACCAAAATTATTTTTAAATATATGTATAATACAGTAAATAATACCGTATAAAAAATAAAAATACTACTTGACTGTTATAGTGAGTCATTCAAAATAATAAATTGAATTCAATTATCAAATGAATGGTTTAGTATAACATAAATATAATATAATATAATATATATACGGTATTATAAATTTATTGAAATAATTATTATAATGAGCATTGAATGACTTCATTAAAAGTTTTCATAATATGTATGTTTGAATGATTTTCAATGAAAACATCAATTTAAATAAATGCATTATACGATATTTATATATGATATATGTTTTATTATTTTTAATCTAAGTTTTGTTTTGTTTGAATACACACTCATTAATTCAATATAAAAGTTTTGTTGAGCCAAACGATAAGATTTTTGTTGCGATAATTTATTAAATATTGATTTAATAATATAATGACATATAAAATCATAACAAACTATAATGATATGATTGCACTGTCAAACAACAATATAATTTTTATATAACAAATGAGAGATAAAAACCCAAAAAACTAAATTATATAAAATTATATGTTTTTCAATAAATAAAATTATTGTTTTATAATATTTAATACACATTGTAAAGATAAAGCAATTATTAAAATTATATATACAATTTTATATGCGCTCTCAAAAACTAGATAATTGCTATACAATGATATGATATATTGTATGTAAAATACTGTATGTTTATTGTAATAATAATATAAAAAATGTATTCATGTTTAACAGTCCTTTCTCTTGAATCTATTATATAATACTTTATAAGTGTTTTAAAATCAATGCACAGAAAAAAGTAAATAACAATATATTATAATAATGTGACCGATAAAGCATAAGATAGTTGTTTTTGCAATATTGTTGTTGTTGTTAATCATTGAAAAAATAATTGAAAAATATAATTTAGCAAACATTTTTTGCAGTCATTTTCCATTTAAACTTTTTTTAATACAATTTTTTGAACTTTGTTTAACTTTTAGGTAAAGTCTCTCTCTCTCTCTCTCTCTCTCTCTCTCTCTCTCTCTCTCTCTCTCTCTCTCTCTCTCTCTCTCTCTCTCTCTCTCTCTCTCTCTCTCTCTCTCTCTCTCTCTCTCTCTCTCTCTCTCTCTCTCTCTCTCTTCTCTACAAATCTTGAATATCATTAAAGAAAGTGAAAGTCGAGAATCGATACATTTATTTAAAGTTTAATATACAAACTATTACTGTGTTTTTTATTAATGTATGAAAATGTTGTAAAAAACGCAAATCAATACACTTTTGAATAGCAGTGTAAACTCTATGTAAAAGCTTAGTATAACTTATATAGTGTAGTATATAAGTGATTGAATTTCACACAATTTTTATTTCAAAGGGAATGAATTCTCAATTGGGAGGCTTTAAGAGAGATTGAGATTTAAATGATTTTTGATATAAAAATAGTTTTTTTCTCGTATTTTATTTTGTGAATGTATATATAAATATATACAGTATATATATATATAAATTTATATATATATATATATATATGTGTGTGTGTGTGTGTGTGTGTGTGTGTGTGAGTGTGATGTCTAATATGTATTTCAAGCAAATTATTGGCGCAACAGTTAAGGGCTAATGCAATGACTGTTTAATTACTAATAGAGAGATGTTTTACATGACGTGATCACCGCTGGAGACAACAACTTAATGAGATACTGAGTGAGTGAGTGAGTGAGTGAGTGAGTGAGTGAGTGAGTGAGTGAGTGAGAGAGAGAGAGAGAGATGTCATTTAAAATTTTCGGCTCATTTTCATAGGCATTACATTTTATAACATAATATTTTTCGGCTTTCTATGTGATAGTCAAACCTCTCAGTCATATAAAAGTCTTATTATTGAGCACACAGTGGGGGCATAAATAGACCCCAAATGGATGATAATTTGAACAGTTTTCCCAGTTATAATAGTGTTGTAAAAATTTTACAGTTTATACTTAATACTACTGTACTGTACTCTCACTCCTAGTTTTTTTTATTACATTTCTTAAGGATCACTAATTTTTATTATATTATATATATATATTGTGTTTCATACAAACCAAACGAAACAACTTTCGTTTCTCTCTCTCTCACAAAACCAGTGTTTCAGTCGATTATCAAATAAGAAGTTATTTTTTAAATTTTTTTCCAGTGATTGAAAGCCTTGTGTTTCCTAATGATTGAAACAACATTTTCATTGAATTTCCCACAAAATTTTTTTTTCACTAAACATTATTTTCAAAACTATATCCAATTTATATCTATACTGAAATATATATATATATATATATATAAGTATTAAATTATTATTAACCGTTTTTTATCATTATTGTTGGCACTTACTATAACTTTACTTACTTCACTAAAAAGTTATCTCTTTTTAAACTAATTTTTTTATTTTATTTTACAATACATACATATAAAATGGTTATAAAATATGTTGGTTTGTTTTTATTACTGTATTTCCCTTTTTGCTGAATTATCAGATAAGTTAGATAATATGCCGTGTCATCAAAATTATTATATGATATTCAAAATAAATATATTAGAGAAAAAATCTTAACACAAAAAAATTAGTACCAAATATGATATATTTGATAATAATTATTGTTTTATTAGATTATTTTTATTATTATTATTTGTTTTATTTTATTAGAAAGCAGTGAGAATTTTTGCAATTGTTTGCGATTGTCTAATCAATTATTATTATGATTATTATTATTATTGTCTTTTTTATTTATACAATATTATCAATTTATTACCATACAGTGTAGTTCCTGTAACTATTGTTTTTATTTTATTTTGGTTGTTATTTCATGTATACAATTTCAAAAGCGGCATAACATCATATCGCTTATATACAGCTTAATAACAGTCACTAAAAAATTGTTTGTATTGATAGCGACTCCCGAAAAAAATATATGTGAGGTTTCAATAAAATTGCAATAATTGTTATGTTTGATGACAACCGTAATAAAATTAAATATATATATAAGAGGAAAACTGTTGGCATATATGGATAGGGAGTTAGCAAATGAAAGAGAGAGAGAGAGAGAGAGAGGGTATCTGAGAGTCAAACAAGTGCTGCTTTTATTGCATTTAGGCTGTAAAAGCTATAGAGCTGTGGATAATAGTAATTCAATTGACGATCTGATAAGTTATAAAAATTTAAGTATTTAAGTGAAAACACATATAAACACCACTATCTCAGTGAAGCCATACGGATGTACGTACTGTATATATATGTGTGAGTGTTTGTTAGGTGTATTGGGTATGGTATGAGTTTTTGTATGACCATTAAATTGTATTATTACACAGCTTTTTCATTGGAAAGCTCTGAGAAAAATATTGTGACCGTACATCCAATTATACGGTTATTTCATAGCACAAGTAGACACTGATTTGAGACTCAATTTTGCCGTCCAATGGTTATATAGAAATAAAAATAAATATATAGATATTTTTAACTGATTGTTAGTGTCATAAAACCTGAGTTTTCAACTAAAAAGTGAGAGAAAAAAATGTCAAAAAAATCGCCAAATTTGCAGTTAGTTATCATTGAATGTATTGCTAAACATAAAAATAAATATATTTCAGACAATTCATAGCAAAGTTAAGTAAGTGAGTGAATGACTGAGTATATGAATTGACTTTTATTTTTTTATGTTGAGATATGAAAAATAATAGTAAATCCAAGTAATATTCAGTGAAAGAAATAAAAAGCACTGAATTTTTAGTGCCCTTTCAAATAAAAAATAAAAAACAATTGCAAACAACAA